ACAAATGAAAAATGTGGGGAAGTATAAAAACATCTTCCTAAAAGCATCAAAGCTTTAACCAAATTATGAGTTTTTGGGCCACGATCCCCCAAAAGAATAGAAATCCAGAGGAGTGCGCCCAGCTCTGGGATTGTGTTTGCTTAGGGACTTTCGTTAATCAGGAGAGGCCACAGAACAGAACTTTCAACTACCTTATAGGTTATGGTCAGGACAATGAGTATTGGAGGCCAGGGTTATGGGGCTGAAGGAAGGGTGAATAAGAAACAACCAGCCCTCACACACACCGCACATCTGGCTTCAAGGTATCTGGGTGGATAGAAAACCTCAAGCTCTAAAATGGGGTTCAGATAATGCTGAATAGCAAGTGTCCCTGGTACGGGCAAGAAATAAACGAAATGCTCACTAGAGAAAGCCAGTAGCATTCAAGACCTAAAATTATTTCTAAAAATATTTCTAAAATTATTCTTAAAAATAACTTTTCAAAAAATTGTATCTAATATTCAACGAGGATAACATAATATAGTGCCTTAAGATAAAAGCACACAGAAAGACTGCAGTTTGAGTTTGTAAATTATCATTACCTGGTAGAAGAAATAAACAAGCCTCTTAAGCAAATTTAGCATATGCAAATCCAGGCTCACAAAGGGATACATTATGGGGTAATTTACAAGAGGATTCATTATAGTATTTCAAAGGTGGTATGTAGAAAAAGAATTTATGCTCAGTTTTCTAGGATATGACCCATCAAACAAATGGGTACCTGAGATTGAGAGACATCATAAAGAGGATGTGATAACCAATATAGGAAGTATAAGTTGTGGCTACATGTAAGAGAAAATTCCTCAAATAATAGTGTTTAAGTAAGATGGAAGTTTATTTCTCTTTCACATAAAAGAAGCCCAGAGCTAGACAATCCAGGGTCATACCTCAGCAGCTCCATAATGTCAGCAGGGACTATGGCACCCATCTTTTGCTCAACTGTTTTCACTGCCGGCTTCTCTCGGCAGTATGACTGCCTACTCCAAGGTGGCGGCTGGAGTCCAGCCATCCCATTATGTTGCAAGTCAGCTTCCTTTAAGCAACCTTCTTATATCACATAACACTTACTACATGCCATAGGACAGAACCAAGTCACATGGCCACCCCTGGCTGCAAGGGAAGCTGAGAAATCGAATCCCTTTGTGTGAGGCAAATTGTGTCCTTTTCAAAGTGAGGGTTTATTACTAAGGAGAAAAGAAAAAAATGGATGCTGCACTGGGTAGCTAGTGGTCTCTATCCCAACAATGAAATAAGGGATCAATAACTTTAAAAGGAGGTATGCTAAAGTCTCAAGGAGTATTTCACAGCTATTATAGAACATTAAAAATACATAGAGCTTGGTGATGGGTATTAAAGAGGGCATGTATTGCATGGAGCACTGGGTGTTATATGCAAACAATGAATCATGGAACACTACATCAAAAACTACATAATGATGTAGTGTATGGTGATTAACATAATAAAATAAAATTTAAAAAAATACATAGAGGGGTGACTGGCTGGCTCAGTTGGTAAAGCATGCAACTCTTGATCTTGGGGTCATGAGTTGAAGCCCCACATTGGGCCCAGAGATTACTTAAAAATAAATAAATAAATAAATAAATAAATAAATAAATAAATAAATAAATAAAACTCTTAAAAAAATACATAGAGGTGATATATAATGAAACTGAAACACTCAGGTTATTAGAAGCAATGAAACTGATACAATACTTTCAAATAATTTAGGATGTTTACAGATTTTAAAATGTTCATATTGTCCTTTGGCACAGTAATCCCACTCATGGAGATTTCCCTAAAGGAAAAAGAAAACAGAAACAACTGAGATGTTAGCAGAATGTTGCTTAAAATAGGGAAGTACCTGGATTAACATAACTGTTTAGCACTGGGGGCAGTGAAGTAAATTATAGTTCATTAATTCAATGGACGAATGTAGAGTAATGAAAAGCAGTAACTCAAAGAGTATAACAACATGGAGTAGATATTTAATACATAAAAATAATAAAGCGGGGTGCCTGGGTGGCTCAGTGGGTTAAGCGTCTCACCCTTGATTTTGTTTCAGGTCATGATTTTGGGGTCCTGGGGTAGAGCTCTGAGTTGAGCCCCAAGCTCTGCTTGTCCCTCTGCTCCTCCCCCGTCCATGCTCTCTCTCTTAAATATATTTTAAAAATCTTTAAAAAAATAATAAAGCTATAAATTTGTAATTACAATTTGATTTTCAATATTTCTATGAGTAAGAAGCAAATGGAAATTAGGAAATTGAGAAAGTTGACTTGTTGGCAGAGAATTATAGATGCTTCTCTATTGTTTTTATTGTTAGATTATACTGCATAAGTTTTTGAAATTTTTTCAAGTCCTAATGTATTCATAAACACGTGTATAAAAATAAGAGATAACTGCATATATTTTAAGGAGTTTTCTTCTGAAATTCTAGAGTTCTGGAATTCGAAGAGTGAGACAGTTCCTCACAATGGTTGGGGTTATAGGCTTTTGAGCCACATAGACCTGGATTCAAATTCTGCATCTCCATTCATTAGCTGCATGACATTGAGCCTTATTTCCTCAGCCATAAAAAGGAGATGATACCTAAGCACTGGTATGAACTTTATTTAGATAAGGAAGCATACTGCCTTTAAATAAATGGTGGTCACCAAGGAAGAATGCCTTCATCTTCAAAAGGGCAGTCCAACCAGACCCTTACTTTGAGTCGGTGTGGCTTTGACGGAGAGAAAATCAGGAATTAATTCAAGGGGAGAAGCACAACATAATTCTATGTCAAAGAGGCATATTTTGAAGTGACATATTCTGGCTTCCTTCACCAGTAAGGCTGTTTTCCAGGACTTCTGCATTTCTTGCCATCATAAACTTTATTAATCCAAGGAGAGGGTGTTACATGATATATGGTATAGAAAGCGTTTAGAAGGGAAAGCAGCATTACGCTTCTCAGCGCTGCTTGGCCCCATATGTAGTATCTATGGTTAGCTATAGTTATATACCTATTTTAAATATATACATCTGTACAAACGTATTTTAAACAATGAAATACCTATTACCATTACAATCAGACAACTCTTACTGTGTTTGTGTTAACACTTATTAGCCAATTGGGTTGCTTAAGGGAATTGCATAAGCAACAAAATGATAAGGTGATCAGGTGAGCTCCATTTGATGTTGTAATTTCTCTGCCTCCGAGGCTTTTTTAAGTCAGATGAATCAGTAGTAGAGTAGGAAAAAAACAAGGAGGGCATAGGGAAAGGGAAGGAAGACCAGGGAAGACAGTGGTTTTCCCAACACAGAAATCAAGGTACAGATGCAAGGTGGATCACCATGGATGACAGCTCTTCTGATTTCTTTAAAAGCCTTAATTTAGAGCCTCTGTTGTGTATTGTGGTCACTCCCCCCACAGTCACAATGATCTATTTGAAATACATATCTATCCATATTCCTATAATTTCCTCAGTACCAAAAAGCAAAAATGTAAAGTGAAATAAAAATAGTTACCAGGGCTCCTGTGGGATGGCCTCTTTGGCCACCTCTCAAGTGGCCACTTACACTCGAGTGCTTTTTCTTGTTCCAGAAACCAAATCAGCTCCAAAGTCTGTGCATTTTCTCCTGCTTTTTCCTTGGCCTGAATGTTAGTCTCCCCTTTCTTTGCCTCGTTAGCAATCATTTACTTTCAAAAACTCTAATTTAATCATCTGTCAGGAAAACTTCCTTGATCCTTTTCCTGAGCACTGGCCCCTGCCTGCCAACTCTTTTACTTTTTTAATTTCTATCTAATAGTCCATATAATTTTATTTAATTTTGGTATGTGAGTCTTCTGGCCCCATGGTACTACTTAATCTTTGTATCCTGTCCCCTAGCAGGATTTGCACCCAAGAAATGTTTATGTGACTGAAATGAACCCAGCTTTGGTCACCGATGACCCAATGACTTGCAACACATACCCTGGGCTCAGAATCTATAACCCATCCTCAAAATCACCATACTCAGAAGAGTCCCCAGAACACAAATCCTTTTTGCAGCATCAATAAAGTATTTTAAAAGGTTTTTTTTTTTTTTTCTCCTGGCACAAAGCAAAAGTGGGATGTATTTATTTTAATCTCACTTAAGCATCAATGCCTAATCCATCATTTGGGCTCATGTACTCCCCCAAAATATTATTTTGTTGAATAAATCAGCATTTCAAAGTGAAAAAGCAAAAAAAAAAAGAAATATACGAGGTTACCGTTACTCAACTTACGTCATGGTTCCCAGCGTGGGCGAACCCTGATCCGTGAGAGAAGAAAGGGAAATTTAATTTCTAGGAAATAACTCCAGGTCGGCTCTAGTGAAAAGCGTAACTATGAGGCATAAGTTCTCAGCTGGGTGCAACTCAGTCCCACCTCGACTCCTACAGTCCCACCCGCTCCTACACACTCTAGGTTTTCTCGTGGGCACCATCGAGGTGGGTGCCACGTCCGTGCCCCGTGAGTTGGCGAACGTCACCAAACACTTCTGTCCGGACCCCTGCAGCAGCAGCGGGATGGGGTGGATGTCGCCACGCAGTGGCCACACTCTCAACCCGCGACGGGCAGGCGGTGGGATCACGGAAGGGAAGCCCCCCGGGGTTCGAGGCCCCATACCCCGGGAAAGCCCCAGGGAAGGAGGGCCCGGGAGGAGCTGTTCGTGTCTACGGAGTTGCGCAAGAGCCGGGGCGGCCGGGCGGGCTGAGACTGCCCCGAGCACCCCCGCCCGCCCGCGCAGACCCCCGCCGAGTCCGAACCAAAAGCGAAAGGAGCCCGACGCCGCGTCCCTGCCGCTCCCACGTCGCATCCGCGGGGAGGTCGCCGCGCGCCTCCAAGCCGGCGGGGCCGCCGCTTTGTGACTTCACTGGTTTCGCAACAAGCCGGGGCAGCCCGCGCCCCACCCACCCCCGGCCAGCCGCCCGCCTCGCCGCCCGGCGCCTCGCTCCGCTTTCCGCGCTTCCCTCCATCCGGGGCCGGGCCTGCCCCGCCGTCGCGGAGCCTCCGGTCCGGCCGCTGCCTGCGGGCCAGCACGTGCGCGGCTCCCGCGTCCCGCGCCCCGCGTCCCGCGTCCGTCCCCGCAGAGCGTAGCGCCCTCCCGGCGGCCGCGCGATGCTGTGCTTCCTGAGGGGAATGGCCTTCGTGCCCTTCCTCCTGGTGACCTGGTCGTCCGCCGCCTTCATCATCTCCTACGTGGTCGCGGTGCTCTCGGGGCACGTCAACCCCTTCCTCCCCTACATCAGGTGAGGCCGGGCCGGGCAAAGGAGCCGCGGGGCAGAGCTGCTCGCGGGGAGGGAAGGATCCAGACCTGGCGGGGGGAGTCCTGCGGGGAGACCCACGTCTGACGACGAGGGGAGCGCGCCCCTGGCGGCCGGGACGGGTAGGGAGGCAGCGGGTGCAGAGCCAGAGCGGTTCTGACCTCACCCTGAACATTGAACACTGAACCCAGTGGCGTCGGGAGGGGCCCAGGATAGACAGTAGAACTTGAGACGGACCGTGGGACAGAATCCCTGAAGATGCTTCTTGGGTGGTATTGAAACAAGAATGGGGCCTGATGGATGCCATTTTTTTAGTGTGTAAGAGGCAGGTTCAGGTGTATGCTAAAACAGCTCACATATTTCACTTCCACTTCCCAACATCCTCATGATGGATGTCCCGCGTATTTTTCATGCAAGGAATCTTGTATGAGCAGACGTCGAAATATCATCAGTGTAACACTGATGTCACAGGTAGGAATGGTGGAGGCAGAGTTCACACCCAGATCCGTCCAATCCAAAAGGAATGCTGTGTCACCTCCAGGTCTTAGGGATCGGGCTTAATTAAGCTCTCCTGGATGGAGCTGCCCGGGATCCCTCCGGGTACCGCGCCCCCAAAGTCAGAGCCCTCAAATTGTCAGCAACTTATGACATATCTTGCGTTGTCATACCGTTTCTTTTTTCATGAGTTTTGGCCTCACCATTCCTGAGGGGTCCCTTCATCAGTGCCCAGGTCGTCTTGATCCTCTTCAAATGGCTTCCAGCTCTGTGCCTAGCCCCATGGCAGTGGGCGTTCCTTAACCATTAGAACTATCCATCCTTATCCAAGTGCTGTGACCTGCATTGATTGGTGAGGAAATAATAAAGTTGGTGACAACCAAGGTTTGTTACCACTTTATGATTAGAGAGATTGTAGGGCTTCTCCATCCTGCAGCAGAGCCTTATGGTGAGCAATGTTCTGTAATGTTTGTGGGCACCGAAGGGGAAATGAAGGTGAGGCAAGAAGAGCCTAGAGTTTGAAGCGAGGAGGAGAGCAGTGTGAAGAGTTCAGAGAAGCAGTTAACGGTGGTGGTTTTGCCCACTCAGGAGGTGTTCCAGGCATCAAGGAGACTTTCCCATCACACCTGGTCCACTGCCGAAACCTGGACTGGGTTTCTCATGGCTCATCTCAGTCTCACATGGCATTGTCTCGCTTCTCTTGATTCTGAAGCTGATAGATCCTCTTAGACTTGCGTAAAAGGGAGGAGTTTCTTTCCCTATAATGCTTTTTATTGAGAAAATAATAGCTGTCCCGGATCTAAAGTTCAGGAACACATAATGTTTGATATTCATTGGCGGGGGGAGAGGGGTGGAGAGTGTCAGAGGCAGGAGGGCTTGAATCTTTGTGATGTCCGATATAGTTGTGATTAATAGCACCACAAGGCGAACTTGAAATGGAAGACATTCAGAAATGGGGAAATGAGCTGACAAGATGAACCACTTGTGAGATGCTCAATCACAGACAGTCCAAAGAATAGGTATTAAATTTAACGAGGAAAGGAAGCCTTTAGGAAAAGCAGAAGTTATGGAGAAAAAGGCTGGAGATTGTCACCTTATTGCCAGGAGCCCCCAGCCTACAAACAACAAACACATGTTTTGCTTGCCCATATGTGCTGGGGGCTTTTAGGTTGTCTGCTCTCTCTGCCTATTTGAGCAGCTGGAGCGCTCCATTGTCTCTCTGTCCCTCCTAGAAAACCAAGTCACTGAGGCAAAGGCAAGATTTAGATTAAGAACAAGGTACTGGAAAGTGATGGGAGTAACGCCAGATTTACCCATTTGGCCCCAGAAATGTTCAACCTTATGTCCTATAACTCATTTCTGCTGTCAGTGCCTCCCGGTCTCCCTTACCCCCACTCCCTCCACCTCCCTCAACTACACTGGCCTCCTTCCTGTGTCTTAAGCTTGTCAGGCACACCACCTCCTCATGACCTCTGCCCTGGCTATTCCTCTGCCAGAATGCTCTTCCTCCAGAAATTATGAGGCTTTCTCCCCGACCTCTTCCTCTGTTCAAATATTGATGAGGCCTGTTGCCCTATTTAAAACTGTCCGCTAGCACTCCTGATTCCCCGTATCTAGTCTAATTATTCACCATAGCATCTATCATCTTCTAACAAATTATATACTTTATCTGTCTTCCTTCACTGGAATGTAAGATCCATGAGGGCTTTCAATATTTGTTGAATTAATATTTCTCAGGCATTCATTTTCAATAGAGTTATTCTTCCCCCTAGGGCCACATCCCCTTAGGGAAGCCTCGGTAAGATCATTGGTCATTGATCAGTGATTTGGATGTATTCAGGATGCTTCCCTTTTACGTGATGACATTGTTCAACCAATCCGATGTTTTGACAGTTAACGTTAAACACTGTATTGATTTATTTTTTAACAACGTTGAACACTTTATTTTTTAAGGATTTATTTATTTGAGAGAGAGTGAGCGTGCTCACATGGAAGTGGGGGGGAGGGGCAGAGGGAGAGAGAGAATCCCCAAGCAGACTCCCTGCTGAGTGGGGAGCCCTCCACGGTGCTCAATCCTAGGACCAAGACTGTGACTTGAGCGGAAATCAAGAGTCAGCCACTTAGCCAACTGAGCCACCCAGGTACCCCCCAAAACGTGAACACTTTAAATAAGAGCCATTGCATTTTAAATAAGAACCATAATCCTGGGAGGACCTCTTTGCAGTATGACATTCAAATTCAGCTTCCTCATTACATATCTTCTTGTAACATTGTTATCCTGCAGCATATTGAATAAAAGGCAAATAGCTCTTAGACCTTAGGAAAGATGCTCAACCTCATGAATGGAATAAAAATTCAAATTAAAACTCACTGATGCCATTTTTCATCATTGGATCAGCAGGAACCTAAATTTTGATAACACACTCTATTGGTCAGACTTTGGGGAAATAGGCTTTCATGTGTTGCTGGTGGGAATGTAAATAGATTCAGTCTCTGTGGAGGGATGTTGGCATGTATCAAAATGACGAACATATATCTGCAAGGTTACTTACAGTATTGCTTTTACTAACAAAAGGCTGGAAGCAATGCAGATTTCCATCAGAGAGGATTGACTAAATAAATATGGTTTATCCAAAGAATATGTCAAAGGAAAGCTCTCTATACATAGAATACTCTTTTTAAATTAATACATTAGTGTGGAAAAATCTCCAATACATTGTTACATGGAAAAAAGCAAGATGCAGAGCAAAATATGCTACCATTAGTGGGGTGGGGGTGAGGGGAGATAGAGATTGGTGGGGGTAATAGTGTATACTTGTATTTGCTTGCATAAAGAAACTAATAAACGTGGTTTGTGTATAAAGAGGAGGTCATGGTCAGGGAGACTTTAGCAGGTGGAAAAGAGGGACTTTTTTATTTTTATTTTTTAATTAATTAATTATTTAAAAAAAGATTTTATTTATTTGTTAGACAGAGAGAGAGAGCACAAGCGGGGGGGGCGGCAGGCTGAGGGAGAAGCAGGCTCCCCGCTGAGCAAGGAGCCCGATGCGGGACTCGATCCCAGGACCCTGGGATCATGACCTGAGCCAAAGGCAGACGCTTAACCAACTGAGCCATCCAGTCATCCCTGTGCCATACTTTTTAAAATTAGTCTTTTTATTTTGAGATAGTTGTAAATTTACATGCAGTAATAAAACTATAATGCAGAAAGATCCCATGTGTCTTTTACCCAGTTTCTCCGAAGGGCAATATTTCCGAGCCTGGCATGTCTTATTGTATGTATTTATTCTTTAGCCACATGGACTGATTTCCTATTAAAATTTAAATTAGAAACATGCAATTCACACCGCCTCTAGATTTAACAAGCTGAAATAGCATATTGCAATGTTTCTGTATTAGGAAACCATTAATGCCCTTAAGGGTGTCAAAATGAAGGACAAATAAAAGTCAACCTCAAAGGATTAGTTTAAATTTTTACAAGGTCACACCCACATTCTTGAGCACAATCATACTTAATTTGTTATAGTTTCTTATATTCCCTCTGTGACCCAATCTCTCAGGCTATCTTGAATCAACTTCACTTATCAACTCCTCCCAGCTGATAAGCCACTCTCTTTTAAAAAATCTTCTTCTTTGGACTGTGTCTCATGCTTCCAGTATATTCTGTGGCCCTTTAAAGTTTTGTCAGTTCTGCACCCTGGTTGCTTTTTATTAACCTGGTCTCATTTTTTGTGCAAATACTGTTTGCTGGGTAGATTGAGATCTTTGGCTACTCCCATTGTTCCTCCTCATGACCACAAACGTGCTCAGTGGTTGGTGGCAGAAAACCGGGTCACCTAGAATTAAGCCACCTTAAAAACGAAGACCAAAATGGTGTAGTAAACAAAGTAAAAGAGGCTGGGTCTTTAACTCCAAAATGAATCTAAAAATTAGGGAAATTTTTTTTATCTTTCACTTGGTTAACAATCATAAAATTTAGGTTATAATCACAGGTGCTAGTTCTAACAATGAACAAAATTCATTATAATGAACACATCTTGTAATGAACAAAGCAAAATGAAAAGATGAAATTCTTACAATAAACAAAAATCTTAAAATGATTCAGGTGTGGATTTTTTAAGGGAGGGAACTTTCCAAGACAGTTTTATGATTGTGTGAAGTCCTTGATTTCACATTTGTCTTGTGAAGGGAGATAAGAAGAGGCTTATTTTTGCAAAAATGTTTTGTGACTTCACTTTTTCCAATGACCATTCTTAATCTGTGGGTAAGGTTATTGTCTTGATTATTGTCTATTTCTCACACAAAATATAAGTTTCATGAGGGTAGAGATTTAGGGTTTGTTCACTGCTGCATCCCTTGCATTTATGACAGTGCCAGACACGTAGTAGGTGCTTAGTAAATACTGGTTGAATGCGAAGATAATTTATGCCAGATGGGCCTGTTTCAGTATGCATTTTGTTAATCTTGTCAGCTTCTCCTTAATTATTAGC